CAACTCCCGCTGCCTCCACTGGTAAAACTTAAACGCACCTAAAACCGTCAAAGTTGCCACCACGGCCTTCCCCAAAAACGCAACCCAAAGCACCCATCTCAACACATCCGGTATATTCTGTCTTCTTGAACCCCAACTCCCTCCTCAGCGCCTCCCTCCACACCCACGTGAGCCAGCTAAGAATGTGTATGATCACAACCCTGGGTGCCGATGTCCCCGATTTCCCCATCCGCTTGTGATATGTTCCCGAAAATATGCCGCAGCCGTAGCCGCCTTCTTCCCAGCGGATCCGCGATCTGCCGTTCCACGAAGGTGGCGTGCCGGCGTCTCGAAGAGAGTAATCATTAGTGTGCGGTTTCAAGAACATCAACCCAATCGTCGTCGCCAGACTGGGGTTGATATTTGTTGCCAGAACGGTGAAAAGTGTCACGATCGAACCAGAGGCCAAGCTTGCAACATAACTGGTTTTCCAAGATTTTGTCTGCTGTCCGTCAACCTCCCAGATATCATCGGCGGTGAGTGACGTCATAGTTTCTGTCCGGTTCGCTTCCAGATCGCCGCGAGCATGCGTTGGTAGAAGCGTAAGATGGAAACTATCCAAAGACAGCTTCTCCAGCTTCCAGAACAGTATACATGGCATGAAAGGATTCAGTTGTTTCAGATAGGTATTTTCCGGAGCCGCTGTTCCCCCGCCTGAAGTTTTCGAGCTGGGCAAAACACAGAAGCATTTGACGTACGCCAGCATCAACGCCAGTTTGTCCGCGGCTAGGTGGCCAGCTCGTACGCTCGCTCCGGGCGACACCTCCGCTGAGGGTTCACATATCGAGTCTTCGAGATAAATCATCATGGTGGTTTCAGATAGCGGGCGACACAGTTTCTTATTCTCCTTTGAAGCCGTTACAATGGCCCATTTGGTTCCGGGGGCCTTCATGTTTTCACAAAGAAAGTTGACAGCGTCGTCCAAGTGGGCGGTGACAAGCTTCTCATTGGTCCATCTTGCCTTCGTTGGGGACCCTTGGTAAATTCTGAGTCCTCGCCATAACTTGACAAACGTTTCAAGATCAGAGGGATTTCCCATGCCGTCGAAGAGTATCTCAGTCGCTTGTTCGTAGTGGAGGTCGAGACCGGTGACACCGTTGAAGGATATTGTGTATTTAACCTTCGAATGTTTCGATGCGATTATGATGCAGGAATCCTCGACTTCGGCGGCTTCGGGCGTGACAATCAGCGTATCCCACTCCTGGACGATACATGTTTCGCCAGCTGCCACGTTCCAAGGACTTGCAAATACAATGGATTTGCACATTGTGCCGATGTGGGATGAAGCTCTGAGCTCTCTTCGCACCCAGGGGATTTTGTGTAGCAGCTGGGAAGCGGAGACGGTGGGAAGGGCGTCGTAGTTGGTGTCGCAGATGCACTTAAGGCCGAGCCACATTCCGACAAGGAGCGTGAATGCACCAGCTGGCCACCGTCCCAGTTCAGCAACTGGTTGTTGAGAATTGACTAATGAAGCTCCAGCTATGATAACTGAAACTACCAGGATGCGCGAGTTGGGGAGAAGGTGTGTCCACGACATTGCTGGATCGGGGTCGGTCAATCGAATCGATAGTGAATCGTATAGGTAGAGAGTGTTGTAGAAGCAGGTCTGGGTCGAGGATGAAATGTAGAAGCTTTGGGAATCAAAAACCTAGAAGAGGACAGTATGGATTGTCTTTATATAATCACAAGTAGCTGGACAATCCTCAATGAAGAAAAAACGAGAGTCTGGAATCATTTATATATCATTGTGTACAAGGGCTATGCCAAATTTCCACCTTACAACGACAGTTCACCAGTTCTGTTGTCAGTCTTCTCTCTGTTTCTGCTCCCTTCAAGCTGCATAAACTCATGCAGGTCTCAGATATAGATTACCTACTCGGAGGGCATACGCGAGACGTTTTGACAGCGGCTGGTGCATCGATTGTGATCAACAGCTAGTAATGCCAACTAGTTGGCATCATTTTGATCTGCCACCGCACGACCTACGTCCCGATGCCTTACTCAGGCACGGAAGCAAATGTCGAAAAGCTCACGCATGTCTCAAAGGTTGGAGTACGGCCTTCGGGAAGAAACGTAGAAAAATACGGATTTTCGGTTGGTCAATTTCCCCCATACTAATTCCGTTCTGAGTAATTTAATTGCCATTCCAGTTCTTCTCCGGCTTTTGCTTCCCACATATGCAGACTCTCTGAGAACCGCTTTATTTTGGCTTCGGGTGTCTTGTGCAGTTGACAGCAAACTTTCCATACACACATGAACGCAACTGGGCGGAGGAGTTGTGCTTCTATCAACATGTTTCCGAGAGCGCTTACTTTCGTGAGACACGGGAAATGCCTTTGCGGAAGATTATAAGGAAAAACTTGCTGGTAGTTTCGTTGGCAGTCTAAAGACACCGAGGAGATTGACCGCGCGTTAACTATTGTCTATGTTGAGCTGAGGAGAAACACCCAACGAAGAGATAAAGGTCGAAACAAGAAGCCATACCCCGTACTACGCCAATACCCGCAGAGCCTCCGTCAGAAAGCTTACCAGTATCCGAGACTAAAAATAGCAATCCTATGCGGGCTACATATATCTTAGTCTCTTTCTATTAACTGCGAAACCCCTGGATCTCCACACAGAAGAAGCGGTTTCCCTCGCGTTCTATCACTTTAAATTTCCTCCTCGATCTGAGAGGGAGTTCACGAATCCGATATTCCCCAGATCCATCATGACCCCAACAAACTATAGAGCAAAAAAAGCAGGTGATCAAGGCAATCTGCGGGCAGGCATGAGAAAACCCACATCCGGCCTTGTGAATGTTGTTGTTACCTTCATTGTCCCCCTTGAGTAAGAATCGTCATCAATTCAACACCTCTGCATATCTGCTCGCATACTTTCTGTTCTTCTTGCATTGATTCGTGTCCTTTCAAGACCAACGAACAGTACTTTGTATCACAGCCTTGATTCAATATTGACGATTGAACTCTAATTCCAGCCGTTCACTCTGACAGCGGGCTTGTGGTCAACGAGAAAATCCAGAAACCCGATAGGTTCATGTGGTCCCACGTATCTGAAGAATGTCTTTCAGCACGGCAACTTCCGTTATGTCTTCACCGCCGCGCCAACGTTAACAGAGCCCCGGGTGGCAAACTATATGGGCTTTTTGCAAGGCTCTTTGCAGAATCCGATCTGAAACATAACGGCAGTCGAGTCGAGAGTGTAATTTTTTTACTTCTGCTATGACGGTTGCTCTGCTACCTCCCAAATATTAGGAGTTCCCCTTCTGAATCGAAAGCTTGGGCATTTCAGAACGCATTGTAGCTGTGTCCAATAGTAGTAATCGAAATTCAATGCTACAGAACAGTATGGGTGAGGTAAGTTATTGCGCCATAAGGCGCAGTGACTCTGCCCCACGTGTATTTTGTAGACACTATTCTGTTCGAATAATATTCAAACTAGGAAATGTCTATCGATGCGAGTCCATGCCGTCAGATATCCGTGACGAGTAATCGAAGGATTTTGGGTTCTAACTGTAAAAAGCCAAACACGGAAAAAAACGATTTTGTATTCCCAAAGGAAGTACCATCGACATCAGGCAGATGCTGGGTACAGAAAATCGTTTCTAGGCCTCACACCCTACCATGGAAAAATTTAGGTTTTCGGCCAGGAATCTTTGAGTTCTCGTCTTGACTTTTTTCAGAGGAAGCTTTTTCATGCATGGTAATGTAAAGTTCCGAGCACAGCCCATAGAATTCTCCGTTCCAGTGAAATCTCACTAGTACTGAATTACGGCAGGGCATGTGCGAGGAGGAGAAAAAGAGTGAACGCTACATACAGGCTTGGACCTGTGAACAGGGTGCTTGCAGCAGCTGTTTAATATTGCAGGTTTCATGCCAGCGAGTGTTTACAGAACCACAGCTTTCAAACCTGTGCCTAGCCTAGTATTTGCAGCACTATGAACCTGTAGTCTGGCGTTTATACCGCCGTGAGTTTTTGAACCTACAACCTGGTGTTTGAAACATCGTGAGGTTTCGAACCCTGGTGTTTATGACACTCAGTAAGCCTGATGTTTGTAGCACCATTAACCTGTGGTGTGGCATTTATAACGCCATAAGGTTTCGAACCCGGTGTTTCCAGCAGTGTTTATAGCACCGGTTGAGTCAAGCGATTGTTTCGTGTAAATGTAGTGATTTCCACCACCTTGTTCAGATCTAATCCAAGTCCTCAAGACACAAAAGAATGAGAGTACTGTAGGTTTCGAGCTTGCAGTCCGGCGATTGTAGCGCCAACTATGGTGTTTACAGCATCTGGGGGCATAGCGTTTATACCGCCGTGAGGTTTCGAACCCCGATGTTTCCAGCATCTGGTGTTTACAGCACCATATGAGCCAAGTGATCAGTTCTTATATATGAAATGACCCCACACATTGTTGGCCGTGGCGAAGGAAAGTGAAAGTATGACTATCCGGCGGGGATGCGGCGAGCATGCGCAACCTAGTGTTTCTAGCACCAGGCTTGCCAGCTAAGCAAAGCGTTTAGTTGTTGTACATATATGCGTTGATTTCAGTTATAGCTATGGTCATGTAAAACTTATATCACATTGCTTCCGAGTAAAAGCCATAGCATCATTCATTTCGCAGGTTTGAATAGCCGGGCTTATGAAAGAAAGACAAAAGGAGCGATAACTATCTGCAGATTTCAAGTCTGCTGTGTTGGGTAGTGTTTATAGCACCGCAGGTTTTGAACCCGCGCCTAGCCTGGTGTTTCTAGTAGCACCGTGCTTGCTGGATAAGCCAAATGCTCAGCTGTTGTGTATGCGCTTGATTTCCGCCATTGTCATGTGAATTTCCAGGGCAATATATGATTTTGGGGCAGGGTCCGCAGTGTTTCTCGTTCAGTGAGTAGAGCAAAAGAATGATCTCAGCAAGTTTTGACCTGTGTACAACACTGCAGGTTTCTAGCCCATGATTCCGTGTTTGTTGCACCGCAGGTTTCGAACCTGCACCTGGCTTGGTGTTTCTAGCTCCAAGCTTGCCCGCTAAGCTAACTGCTCAGCTGTTATGTGAGTTGATTTTAGCCATGGTCATGTGAATTTCCAGTGTATGGTTCTCGAGCAGGTCAGTTGAGTAAGCGGCCGCGGCGGGTAAAGAGAAGGGCAAAATTAAAAGAGTGATTTCAACAAGTTTGTAGTTTGCGAGCTCAATGTTTCTAGCACAGCAGGTTTCGAACCCGCATCAGGCGTTTGTAGCACCTGGCACCTGGTGTTTGAAGCACCAGCTAAGATAAGCGACTAGATCTTGTTTAACAGATGATATCCCAGGATGCTAGCCGTCAGACGGCCAGACCAAACTTGCCCATATATGCATAGTTTTGTATACGTAGAGCGCTCCCCCATATGAAGCCCATGTAACCACACACCCACGTTGCATAATTCTTCAAGCGCATAGCTCTCACCAGCAACCGCACTATCCCTTAAGGCATAGTCCTACTTCTCACTCTCTTATGCATCTCCCTCCATCTCATTCCCCCGTCCTCTCCCTCCCACATTCTCCTCCTCCCTCTCACCACCGCCCACTCCGCCTCCATCTCCTCAAACTCCGTTCCCAAAGCTTTCCAGATTCTCCAATCTCTCCTTGACTGGTAGATGGCACCTCTCGCTGCGCAGGTACTCGCCTTGGTGATAGAACCGCATCCAGTTCGTGATGTATTCATCCCGCTCGTGTTGGAAGAGGCCGGCTGTGCCAAGCTTCACGGCGGTGGAGAGTGCGGAGAGGTAGGTTAGTTTTTTTATGGGGGTACACGGGTGGGTGTTGATGGAGTGTGGAGCTGAAAAAAAAAAGAAGCTTGAGGGTGAGTGGTAGTACTGTAGTAGTGTCCGGGTTCTTGGTGGTAGGACTGCTTTGGGGGCGCAGAAGGAAATGGTGGGATGGAAGCAGCCGAATGAGGTAGACCGTGGGTGTTAGTAGGTGCTTGATTGGGGACTGCTGTTCCAGGCACAAACGGTGCGGCCGTCGGGTTGAAGTTGGTGTGTTTGTTTACTGCCATAGCTTAACATGAGCCGGATGAGGTGTGGAGTGGGCTAGGTGGTTGGAGCCCACAAAAAGAAGAGGGAGGATAATCGGTGGTGGTTTGTGGTTCACGCAAAACATGAATTATAGGAAACAAACGCCGAGTGATGGAGGTGTAGACGTTGCTGGATTCGTCGTTACTTCAACTTCCAACACCAAACAAAAGGACCATCTGGTTTCTAATAGAAAAAACGAATTCCCTCTTCTTACCGGGGATGAATGCATGACTCTCTTTCTTGTGAAGTAGTACATTCCAGCCCACAACGGTAACAAAGAATAAATAAAGACTTTCAAAGGCGACCCCGTGTAGCACGCCTCCGAAACTAAAAGCCTTACAATAAATGCATCGAGTACAAAGGCATATAGAATATCGCATCGTTCAAATCCCATAAAAAGGGCAGATTTCACCCCTTCTGCACCCATTCTCCATACCACTTCACCATGTTATCTCCCGAACCCCCAACCACCATCATCTCGCAGCCCTGCGCGGACTGCACACCCCGTTCCAACTCCCTCGCATACAATCCATCACATCTGGGCAGATCCGGCTACATAATCTTCTGCATCTTCTGCGACCGAACCGTTAGCTTCGACTATCGATTATTCCCGCTCGACCAGCAACAGCATTACGGATGGCCACCGGAAGAGTATCCTGGCCGGTCGCTCTCTAGCAGGAACGGGCTGGTTTCCATCAGGGAGGGATGACGGGGGTTTTCAATGTATATAGTACTATGCGCATGCTGCTTGGGTCTTTTCATTCAATAATGTTTACTCCGAAATTTAGACACTGTAACGCAGGGCTGCTGTTTGTATAACACTTTAATATCTCGTAATGACTAGCTAGGTCAGACTAGGTACTCCGTGATGCATGCTTGTTTGAACCGTTCACAGGAAGTTATAACTGTCACAGTAAATCCAATACAACACACATGCGTACAATACATCGCCAAAACAACGGTGGCGGGACGAGCAACCCACGCAAGACCAACAGCTTACAGCCACATACAATGTTCTCAGGCAATGATGCAGACACCAGCAACTGAATGCCTTACTTCTGTACTTGCCCAGACATAAACTATTCCCTCCTACCTCACCTCCAAAACCACAATCGACAACCCAGGAACATCCCACTCCACCGTCCTTCCCTTATTCTTCCTAACATTCCTGCCATCGAGCATAAACGTCCTCGGCGAGATCGCAGTCGCATTCCCTATGTAGTTGAACCCATACTCATCCTCGTGTCCCAGCACAGTCCCGTTCACCGACGAGATCGTGGTATCGAACTTTAGCGTCACCGGAACTAACGTTGTCGCCGCGTTAACCAGCTAAATACGTTAGCACCTTCTATCTTCCCTCCCTCGAGATAATGTATATACCTTAACCCAGATCTTTCCCTCCTCCGAAACCGACGCGTGCCACCAGACTGGGTTAAAATCGCCCTTGTGCCCTGTCAGTACTTCTGACCCCCTCTCGCTCTCAGATATAGCTTCTCCTATGGCAGCGACCATAGTTGCTGCAACAAGCTTTAGTATGGCCGGGGGGGAGAGGCTCGGTGACTTACGGTATGAAAAACGTCCCGTGCCGTTTACCCAGTCGACTCCGCCGGGTTGATCGCGGCCGAGAACGGAGTATTCTCCTACAAAGATCTGGACACCCTTGTAGCCTGTGATTTCCTGTCAGTTGTCGAAGAAGTTGAAGCGGTCTTTAAAGAATTGTGGGGTTTCATAGTGGTCTGAAAGACTGTTAGTCCAGGCGTAGGTAATTTGAAGGGAAGTGTGAACGGACAAAGATCCCACATAGTCCCTGAAGGAATGGTGGTATTTCGATTTGCTACTGATGTTTCGGTGGCTTGCGAGGCTATGTAACTAGTTATGCCTGATATCAGCCAGGGCGAATCAGAATGTGGGGGGGGAGACGTACGTGATGTCGGGATACGCTTTCTGCAACGCCTCCAGAAACATGGGGAATTTCCAATAGTAGCTGTCCGAGAACCAATCTTCATTTCCGATCCCAACGTATTTTATGTTGAACGATTTTGGGTGTCTTTACTTCATCAGTGGCGAAGGGAATGTGTGGGGTTAGGGATCGGTGGGAGAGTATACCCATGTTCAGCTCTCAGTGCTCCCCAGTAGATATCCGGCCCGCCCATCGCATATTCCAACTACTCGATCGCCTCGGCGAGATAAAATTTCAATTCACTTTCCGGCACCGTATTCGTAGGATGACGATTCGCAGGATCCAGCGAGTACCCCGCATAAACCGTCAGCAGCGGTTTAATTTCCATATCTTCACACCACATCAGATACTCCAAGTACCCCAATCCATCGGTATTATAATACGACCAATCACCGGGTCTTCCAGGGCGGTCAATCAACGGGCCTATCGTTTTCTTCCACTGCCATCGCGCGTCAATGCTCATTCCTTCCATGTTGTTGCCGCCTGGGAACCGCAGAAACTTTAGTTTCAGCGCTGCTAGATGCTCGGCTAGGCCCTTCTGAAGACCGTTTTTGCGCCCCTTGTACGTGGGCGGGAAGACGGAGATGAGGTTGAAGAAGAATGTGTTCCCCGCAGCTTCAGAGGCGTTGAACGTTATAGCGAAGGTGTTATTACTGTTTGTGGCTGAACGTGTGGGTGTTAATATGCTATTGAAGGCTGTATACTTGGTTGTGCTAAGGGGTTCGTCAAAGATGATGCGCTCGGAAGCAAAAACGTCGTCGGTGATGGCAAGTGATACTGTCAAGCCGGATATATTCTTGTTGTAGAGTGGGCCACTGGGCTTGATGTAGAACGACGCATCGTAGGGTTGTCTGTGTGAGTTATAATTAGCTAGATAGCATTCCGCCCACAATGGAATACGCACGGCTTGACATCCATCCCCCACCACCCTTCGTTCAGAAACCCAACTTCTCCCGTGGCATTAGTGGGTATATCAACCGTCAGCACAGTTTGCAAAGCGTTTGAGAGTGGATTGAGCACATCGAGAGAGAGAACCACGCCGCCGATTAGTTTCCACGCGGTGAGCGTGGGACCCCACGGCACAGCTTTGTTCTCAGAGCTGATGATGCGATCCCCCTCCATCCCCGGCATGTTACCAAATCTCACATCCGAACCTTGAAACGCACAGTTTCGGGTTAACTCTGCGTAAAGACCGCCGTCACCAGAGTGCTGTGATATTCGTAAGCAAACAGCTAGAGCGGCGATGGCCTGGTGTATGTACATACATTGATGTCCTCAAAAAACAGCCCATGCAGGAGCGGAGTGGTTTTGTTCCTGACGCCTGACTTGGTCGAGATCTGGAGGGTGAGGGAGGTGGGACTTGGTGCGGGTGAAGCGGTCGAATAGTTGTTTTTCTGGGCTGCGGCAACTGAAACGAGACACAGGAGCCCAAGAGCATTCGATAACTTATGCTTCATAGCTGGAAAATCATGAAGAAATAACGTCTGCGAAGCACTGGAGCTCCATTTATACTCTTATATTGAAATATCTCGTGCTCTTCGGTATTGAATTCTATAAGCCTAGTATAGTATCGAGACATTCTTTCATCCGGAGTACCCATACAACCAACCGGGTGATATGCACCTGGCAATTCCTATTTCCCGGGCATATTCCTGTATTCGTGTAGACAATATTTGAGTGTCATGAATGAAAAGACGGACAAGGCGGTGTTTTGCAGCGTCCGTGAAGTTGAAGCTGCCATTTAGCCGCGGACGGGACGGCACGCCAGACTAGAAATGCCCATTTTTAATACCCGGAAAAATGCCTTTAACCATAGAGATCAATCCCCATGACGACACCAGAGCGAAGCTACAATGAGAAGCGATGTGTGATGAATGGTCTTTACCAAAAACAGATCGGTTCTTCAGGGTAGATCATCTATGTCCCATTGTATTCTCTCCACTAACAGGGAAACCTGTCTTTTCACACTGCCACAGCTCACAATTAGTCTGTCATCCAGCTTTTGGTCGCTGGTTAACGTCACAGTC